AAATCCAGGTAGTCTTGACTCCCTAGCCCCTAGCTTGAACCACTGCTTTATACAAATGATCACTCAAGGTGTGTAAAGGACTTCCATTGAAAGATGGCACATAGAATACAATCTTAGATCCATTCACCCTGAAATTCTATTTAACATGGTGATCTAACTGTCTATTCTGGCTCATCATGTCCAATTGTGCCAGAGCCCACGTGGCATAGTGGTTACAGGTTGGGCTGCAAACCACAAGGCCAACAGTTTGAAACCATCAGCTGCTTTCCAAGAGAAATAAATACTCCTGTAAAGAGTTACAGTCTCAGAAACCCACAAGGACAGTTCTACCCTGTTCCTATAAGGTCACTATGACTTGGAACCAACTCGATGGCAGTGAGTTTGGGATGTTGCTTTTGAGAGGCAGAATGGAACGAGGCTCCTTAAGGTTTTCAATGAGTCATTTTTTTGAAGTAAGCTGTCAGGCCTTTCTTCCAGGATGTTTATAAGTGGGCTCCAACATCCAATCTTTGGGATAAGGATCATGTGCGTTAATCATCTGCATCACCCCACGAGTACAAATGGACAAGGGATCATCTACAAAGACAGAAATCCACCAAAGGGAGAAAGAGACAAAGACAGAACTTGACTAAAAAAACTTTGAAAGTTGAAAATATTTATACTGGTATAAGCTGTGAGAAGCAACCTAATTAACACCAAGAGTCAACTTCCTGAGAAATGAATAGATGTAAAGAGGGGTACAGGAGATTGGCACCACCAATCCCTAAAGGCCAGGAAAGGGTTGTTCCTCAGAAAAGAGAGCTCGCAGCCAACAAGCCAATTCTGACTCTTGGCAACCCTATACGACAGAGTAGAACTGCCCCCATAGGTTTCTGAGACTTTGTGGGAGTAGAAAGCCTCATCTTTGTCCTGCAACACAACTAATGATTTAAACTACTGGCCTTGGGGTTAGCAGTGCAACACATAACCCACTACGCCACCAGAGAATCCCAGAGGAGAGAAAGGTGAGGTTAAAAGCAAGAGATCAGATTAAAGGTCAAATTCCTGAGAAAGGGATATGGAGCAAAGGTTCAAACAGGGCAGAGAATCAAATCCTTGTTTAAAATTACAAAACCAAAACCAGGGTTAGAGTTTATATATCTAACACTATGGAGTAAGCAGAGGGGGGGGGGCAGCAGTGGAGAGTAATTAATTCTAAAGAGAGAGATGTGTGGAACTCTGCTTTTAAAAAAAAAGTTTATACCAACATGTTCACTGAAGACAAATATGGGTGCATAAGCAAATGTGGTGAAGAAAGCTGACGGTGCCTGGCTATCAAAAGATATAGCATCTGGGGTCTTAAAGACTTGAAGATAAACAAATGGCTATCTAGCTGGGAAGCCAAAAAGCCCTCATGGAAGAAGCACACCAGCCTGTGTGATCATGAGGTGTCAATGGGATCAGGTACCAGGCATCAGAAGACCCAAAACAAACAATCATATCAATGCAAAGGAGGGGGTAAACGAGGGAGGTAGAAGTGGAGATCCAAAGCCCATGTGGAGACAATTGGACATCCCTTCACAGAAGGGTCACATGGAAAGGATGAGCCAGCCAGGGTGCAGTATAGCACTGAGGAAACATACAACATTCCTCTAGTTCTTTAATGCTCCTCCCGCCCCGCACTACCATGACCCCAGTTCTACCTTATAAATCAGGCTAGACCAGAGCATGTACACTGGTACAGATAAGAGCTCTCTACTCAAAAAATCCAGACAGATAAACCCCTCAGCAACAGTAATAAGAGTAGCGATACCATGAGGGTAGGAGGAAGGTTAGGAGAGAAAGGGGGAACCGATCACAATGATCCAGGTATAATACCCCTCCCACCCTCCACCCCACCCCATCACAGTGACAAACAATAGAAACATGGGTGAAGGGAAACAGCGGACGGTGTAAGATATGAAAATAATAATAATTTGTAATTGATTAAGAG